TAAAATTATTTTAAAGAAGAGTCTGAATAATGAGCAATTTAGTTACTGACTCGTATAATTTATCACCAATGAATACAATAACTTAACATAACATATTACATTAACATTTAATAATCTTCACCATAATATGACATTTCACATTGCAATACCTCCTGCAATATAGAAGCATAAACCACATGAACAGGAAAATAATCCACATTTGCTGCTTTTACAAAACATTTATTACTTGTTTAGACAATCTCTACAAATAAACAACTAGTTCCACAAATAGTTGCAAACTTGCAAACTAAAATAACGGTTTCCAATCTACTCAGCAACTAAACTCTCCCAGCTTGGAATTGAGGACAGAAAATATGCAAACACATTTTAAAAAAAGAATCAGATCAAAATGATACCATGTTTCTCCGAAAATAAGACATTTCTTCCGAAAATAACCCCTAGCTTATTTTCAGGGGGAAGCTTGTAATATAAGCACTACCTCAAGAATAAGCCCTAGTCGCTTGTTGCTAGTTCGCTATTCGATGTTTGGGGAATTTTCCCCGAACATAGATACACAAGATTCCATTTGCGAGTAAACTAATCTATGTTCGAGAAAGTTTCCCTGAACATAGATTCACGGGATTCCATGCCCTAGTAAACTGGTCAATTCCCCCGAACGTAGACCTGCTTTCTACACATGCTTGCTACCGTTTACCCCCGAAATAAAACATTCCCTGAAAATAAACCCTAATGCGTTTTTCGGGGGAAAAAATAATATAAGACCTGGCTTTATTTTCAAGGGAAAATGGTAATTAGTGAGTCATGAAAGAGTGATGGTAAAGTGATCAATCCAGAATTCACGTTCAAGAGAGTAATCCATCCCTCTGTTCTCTATAACATTATGAATGTTTGTTTTTTTTAAATCTAAGGTAACACACCTATGAATTTAACAATCCCCAATCAGATTTGGTGGGTGTAACATATGATTAATAAGAATCTAGAGTTTAGAAAGTGGAAAGGACAACCTACCTATAAGGGGAATAGTCCAGCCTGGTGATGATGAGATTCCTACAAATACGTAAAAAAATAAACATACAGGCAAAAATGTACAACACATCATCACTGATAAAGACACTACATTAAGTGCATGATTGTTTTTTTTTTCATTTACTTGTACATTTGTGCCTATATATATATATAAATGTAAAATGCAGATAAAATTCATATCTCATAATAACTTTTTTATTGGACTAACAGATTTTTTAATGACAAACTTTCGGGAGAACCTCCCTTTCTCAAGTCTGAAGCATTTGTGAGCAAGACGACACATAGAATTAGAAGTTGAGTTGTGATGCAAGGGTTAAAGCGACATGAGTGTAGATAAGACACAGGTTTGTTAGAAAATAGACACCATTTTTGCAGAGGGTCATAAATATCTTTTTGACTAGCAGAGTGAGGGAGGAGAGAGGGAAAAGAAAAACAAACAAGCAGACAGTGCAGAGGATGGTACACTTTATACATGCACACACACATAAATATGTATATGTGAACGCATAAACACATGTACATATACATAAACACATATACATACATGCACATGAACTCATATACACAAATATAAACGCACAGTAATATATATAAGCATACATGCATACGAGGATGGGGAAGCACAGGTCTACACATAGTACTTTGTATGTAGATAGAATAAACATATAGGAATGCATTTTAAAATGTTGATACATATAACAGAACAGTAAGATAATGCTGGGAGAGCGTTTGTGTAAAGTGTTGGTAGTGGGACAGGAAACCCAAATCAATATTTAGTCCTCTATTCTTGCTGTTAAAACATTTACTCATTCTAATGGAGTGTCTGTGCATATTCATTCTGCCATTTAATGGCTGGGTGGTTTCCCCAATGTAGCATCCTAGGTGGCATTTTATGCATTGAATCATGTATACCACATTTCTGGATGTGCAGGAGTATGAACCTTTAATGCTGTAGGTTTTATTGTTGTGTGTGGCTGTGTTGTTTGTGCATATGTGCTGACACAGTTTGCGGCAAGGTTTTTTGCATTGACTGGTCCCATTTTCTTCATTCTTACCATCAGTGGGCAGCTTCCTGTTGATTAATTTTTGTTGGAGGTATGGTGGTTGTCTGAAGGCCAAAATGGGTGTTTCAGGGGAAATGTTTTTCAGAGTCTCATCTTCTGTTAATATTGGTTGTAGGTCTTTGATGATTTTCCATATTTCCTCAAGAGCTGGGTTGTAGGTGACTACAAGTGGCACTCGTGTGGATATTTTTTTCTCTCTGTACTGTAGCAGGCGTGTGCGTGACGTTTTTACAGCAGAGTTGATTTGTTTGATAATAGTCTTTGGTTTGTAGCCTTTCTGTTTCATAGATTGGGAGAGTACATTTAGATGGGAATTACGGTAATAAGATCAGAGCATATTCGATGGTACCTAGTGGCTTGGCTGTAGATGATGCCCTGTTTAGTATGGGAGGGGTGGAAGCTGGAGCTGTGTAGGTAACTGCACCTGTCTGTGGGTTTTCTGTAAACCGAGGTGTGGATTGTGCCATTGTTACATGTCACAGTGGTGTCCAGAAAATTCACAGCTCTAGTGGAATATTCCATTTTTAGTTTGATTGATGGATGGAATGTGTTGAAAGAGTCATGGAACTGTATCAATTTTTCTTCGCTTTCAGTCCAAATTATGAAGATATCATCAATATAGCAATAATATTTGTATGGTTTGGTGTGCTGTATTTGTAGGAATCTCTGGTCAAGATCTGCCATAAACAGATTAGCTTATTGGGGTTCCCATAGCATTGCCCATGGTTTGTAGGTAAACCTCATTGTTAAAACTGAAATAGTTATGTGTGGGGATGAATAATGCCTGTTCTGTGATAATTCGGGGGCTGTATTTTGGTTGTTGGTATAAGAGAGGAAATGGCAGCAAGCATTGATGCCATCGGTATGTGGAATGCTGCGGTACAGAGATTCCACATCCATGGTTACAAGGATGGTGTTAGCTGGGAGATTGGTGATTTGGCTGAGTTTGTTGAGGAAGTCGGTTGTGTCTTTTATGAAGCTGTTGGTATACATAATTCAATGCACCAAATGCCTCCTAGGATGCTACATTGGGGAAACCACCCAGCCATTAAATGGCAGAATGAATATGCACAGACACTCTTCAGAAACTGCAATAATTACTATCCAGAGTTAACTACACTTCTAGTGGCCGTTGACCAGACAGTCACTAGAGGGACTTTGGTCACCTAACTGATGCTGGACGTCCTCACCCTATGCATGAGGGCATCCAGTGCCACCCAAAACCCCATTACACAATACTTTTCTATGGGGTTGTTCTAATGCGCTCACACTGCATGCGCATTAGAAGGAGCCAAGGTGGAGTCTGACAAAGCACCGAGGAACATCAGCGCTGGGATTGGGTACATGATGGGAGGGTGCAGGGGAGGGGGTCTCGAGCGTGCTAAAGGGGGGCACTATAGGGAGTTATAGTTCTAGGAATACAATTTTGTATTGCTAGCCTATAGTTTCCCTTTAATCCTATGATCCTTATTCCAGACAGACAATATGGCAAATAGCTCAGTTTAGCTTGTCTGTGTATATAATCCATGATAAATCGACCTTGTCTTGGTTACTAAGTTTATAAACATAAATAAGCGTAAAACATATGACGTGTCACTCATTCAAAATATTTTAAACATATATTCTCAATCGGGTACCAACACTTTTAAATGTATCTAAATATGTGTGTGTAATAAAAATGTGTGCTATAACTACATGCATCGATAATATTTAATTGAGAGGAAAAAATATTATATACATATATATATCTAAAAAAAACTATCTAAACATGCTACACTAGATTATAGTTTGCATATAAGATATACTTTAAAATGTATATCCTTCTAACTAGATGTCCCGAACGGTTTGCCGAATGGTTTGCCGCGGACGGCGAACATATGCGGTAAACTTTGATCCTGTACCTCACAGTCAGCAGACACATTCAAGCCAATCAGCAGCAGACCCTCCCTCCCAGACCCCCCCACCTCCTGGACAGCTCACTAAGAATGCAGCTTCTCAATGAATGTAAAATGGATGCTGTCCAGGAGGTGGGAGTGTCTGGGAGGGAGGGTCTGCTGCTGATTGGCTGGAATGTGTCTGCTGACTGTGAGGTACAGGGTCAAAGTTTACCGCATATGTTCGCCATCCGTGGTGAACCGTTCGGCGAACCGTTCGGGACATCACTACTTCTAACTTAATTTCAGCCAAACCATTTCATATTAACCCCTATTCTAATTTTCTCTAGCAAGTGGTATTGTGATCTGGAGTTTGATACTTCTTCTTATTCACCATGAGATGAAGTCCCTCTTTGTTAGCACATACTAAATGTTATAATTTAAAAATCCTATTTTACTGTCTTAGTTAAAGCGGTTTAAGTGTTTTGAAGTCATAAAATAAATTAGATCATTGTCTAAAAAGGCATTTGGGTGTTAATGAATAACTTGCTTTTTTTTCAACTTTTCTCAATGTTAGAAGAATTTCTTTGGTATATAGTTTTAAAAAGCTTCAAAAATGTCTGTAATTTTTATTAATTGTAAACCTGTAGAGTGTGTAGTAGAATAATATTCATAATGGCTGGCATAATATGTCAGACAAAGCTCAGCAGCTGGGTTACTGTGTCTCTTTGGCTCAAAGAGAGTTGTTAAGGGCTACTGCAGAGTGCTGGCATCCAGGACAGCTGAATTTTTTTAATCTTGCTACTTGGAATAAACGTTAGGAAATCATGTGTGACGGTGATCTGGTATTTTCCCCAGGCCTGCGTCTATTTCCCTGCATATGTCATAATTGACGAACTGAAATAACTCAAGACTGTATCTATTTCAAACGGGCACAGAAAACCCCAATAAAAACCATGGTGTGACAAAAATAAATGAGTGGGTAAAAATTTGAATGTTAAAACTTTTTGGTAATTTTCGGAAACTTTTGTTAACTTTTTTCTTCATCACTGGATGCAATTACCATACTGCAACAGAAAATGAAAAAGATGAACAGATAATAAACTATTTAAAACTGAAAATAACACGTATTAAAAAAAAAACCATTGGGACAATAACAAGGTTATTCTCTAAAATTCTGTGAAAATTGCAGAATTCTGATAGCAATTCTCATATTTACTAATGCAAAATACAATCATAATTCAGTTGGCCAAAGCAAATTCTGCAGCAATTGGCCAGATGGTTTCAGTGTCTTGTAACCGCGGCTGGTTCCCTTATTTACCACTATAATGTCTTAAAGCATAGAACTTAGTAGGGCTAACCATACAGATATCTTAGCCATAATTTTATATAGTTAGTGTAAGAGATCCTCTATTTAAAATATATAAATAATTGAGAATACAATATAAAATAAGGATTGCTTTGGAAGCAATAAAGTTGTGTCTTTTAGATATTTTATTAAATAAAAATATAAAAATAGACATATAAAATCTATTATTAATAAAGAGGTTTAAGTCCTAGTTAGAAATTAAAAATTAAATTTTATTATGATTTCAATATAAAATCTAGTATACAATATAGACATTCCTAGCTCAATTACCTGAGAAGATACTGAAGCATAGGGAGTGGATGGAGACAAGATATCTCCTAAGGTGCTGCCAAAAATATATAAGTACTCACTAAACCAATTTTTAGAAAAGGATGAAATACTGAGAAAGTGTTAAGAATCCCAAATCAAAATAATGATACAAAATTTAAAAAAAAAATAATAAGGTGACAAGGAGTAGAATATACACTCCAAAACAAAGTATATACACAAGATTTTCCCAATCTCAGTTGCGTATCTGAACAGAAAGATGTTCAGGAGAAGGATCATATGCACTGGAACGTGTAAAGTCCTTGTCCAGCAGAGACTTACACTAAGGGTTAAATGATGCTCTCTGTTGGAAAGCACTGAGTTTTTGGCACTCTGCCTATTTTAACAGGAGACAAAAAATATAAAACAGTGTATATAAGTCGCTTATAAACAGTTCTGATAATTTTCTGAAATATGGTATCACCAGCTATTGCACAAATAAGTGGATATCCCCAAAAATCCACTACAGACTCAGATGAAAATAACAAGCAAAACTCACAGTTTTTAAGGATAAGACGAAACTGTTCCAATGTGCCATTTTTATGATGATTTTATTGTATTTTTTAGGAAAATAGTTTTATGAATGTTATTTAACACACTGTCACTTTAAATGCATGCAATTGTGTGCACATTATTCTGCACTTAAACAAGGCTTTTTGTTTCTTTTAATGAATCCTAGATATAAACTTGCATTTTCTAATTTTAAAAGAATAAACAAATTATGTTTTTAATAAGTTTGAACAAATCATGTTATGTAGCCCCAAGGAGCCAAAGCACAGCTTAGCGGAGGAGGGCCTTGACAGGGGTTAGGAGGCGGGCTTAGGAGGATCCAGCCAGGACTGGTGGATTGTGGGAGAAAGGGGTTGGTCTACTTAAGTAGGCAGCCATTTTGGATAGAGCACATTTCATTTCTTACCTGGCTGAGTTTGTCCCACCCACCCTCCCTGGGTTTTTGAGATAAGTGATGGTATCCCGTTTTGTCACAGCGGCGGGATAGGGAGCCGAGGAAGAGGAAATAGGCTCCCATGAGGAACGTCACGGACATGGAAATTGTGGTCACTAGTGGTTGGTAGGTTTCGAGTCCTGGAGGTGGCTCAGAACCTGGTGGGGTAGGGGTATCCGGGTATACCCCTGCCGTGATTATTTATGGTTGGCACTTAAATTGTTATGTTGGAGTAAGGTTGCAAACTGTTAAAGATATATATATATATATATGTGTTAGTATGTTGGGGGTCATTGCCCGTTATATTAAAAGAAGGATGCGGATGCGAGGGCGGAGTATGGGGGCAATGACCCATATTTATATGTTAAATTATTATTATATTGTTATGATTGTTATTACTAATGATAAACTTATTATATTTATTATTATAATGGTTAATAAAAGCTGTGGACAATTTTACCCATATACCCTAGTGTCAGTGTGTTATTGGGTTAGGTATGTGGGGGTTTTGTCCTAGGTTCCGACTGCCCATATGGCGACTATACACCGGTCATGTACTGAATATACTGATACTCTTTCTTCTCCTTCTATACCATGTGAGAAACTTTACAAGGCGATCTGAATAGGAGATTGACCTATAAACTAAATGCAGCATGGGTAATGTAGTCGTAAAGGACTATAACGGATGTGACGAGACGGACTGAGAATCCAACGTCACTTCCGGTTTCACAGACAATCAGGAAGCCTATTGCTTCAAAAGGACGCGATGGGCTGCCACTGTAAGGAAGCACCATCAGATTGGATACTAGCCAAAAAGGGCAAGAGCCCAAAGATTTAATACCAGAACCGGGAATGGATGAACATACACGCCAATTGAAAAAGCCATTACCGGTGAAATGCGTCTGCTAATTTCTCCACTTTCTGTTTTTTATGTTACTTGTTTTATTAGAAATAAATTGTTATTTTATTCTACAAGTCCCCGCCTCTTGACATACATCCAGAATTTCCGGTTCCCATAGGGAAGTGTCACCCTATAAATTGACACTAAGCGGATATTTTGGAGCCAGTTACCTAACAGACTCCAGATAAAGTGAGCAGGCAATTTTTTATATATTTTATAATAATTGTTCTACACCAAGATTGTTTCCTGTCTCTCTGCTTATACCTGCATATTAATTACTGAGAACAAACATAGAAGAAGGTTCCCTGGTGCCACCCTAAAACTCCAGATC